GACTTGACCTGAGGAGACAGAAAGAGAAAACACAAATGCTTATCTCCGGTGTTGTTGATATGAGCAGATGGGGAAAGCCCAGACCGAGTCCTGGAAGTGGAATCACTTTGTGGTGAACTTCGTTGCACGCAATGGAAAAATCTTTCCCGCTCTCCCCAGTGAATCCACCCGCTCAGATTCCTGGGGTGCCACCGACTGGCACGGCCTTTCCCCGCCTTCCAGTGGGAGCTGCTGACGCCAGCAGCCCTTTGGGAGTGGGAGTCTTCCTTTCCGCCCAGTGTCCCCCGGGGGTGAAGGCTGTTGCTCCCCCCCTTCGGATGAGCTAGAGTCTGATTTGTAAATGTCTGGCCATTTCGAGAAAATAAGAGATTGTCTTTTAGAGATGAGGGGAGTATCCTACTCGGGTCAAACTACACTGAGCTCATAGGTGTGGCTGGCTGGTTCTTCTGGGGAAGTGAACAGTGCCCAGCCGCTGAGCTACGCCCGGAGAGTCCTCATGCAGACATACTCCTCCCACCAAGGCTGACAGCCAGAGGAGACTGTAAAATATCAGCAACGTACTCCTCAGCATTCAGGAAGGCCGGCTACTGGCCCCTAATGTCTCCTGAGCAGGCATTGATCTCATTTGCTTCATTCAGAGCAGACGGAAATAGGGAAATAGCTTCTATTATAATCCTGGGTGAGACTGTAACAGGTAGAGATTTGCGATCCAATCAGATACCAGGGGTCACTCAGCAAATTGGGAAGGACTTAGCCCAAAACAAAATAGCTAAATAAAAAACAAATGCACAGCCATAACCGGTTTGGCTCAGTGGATAGAGCATCGGCCTGTGGACTGAAAGGTCCCAGGTTCGATTCTGGTCAAGGGCATGTACCTTGGTTGCGGGCACAACCCCAGTAGGAGGTGTGCAGGAGGCAGCTGATCGATGTTTCTCTCTCATCGATGTTTCTAACTCTCTCTCTCTCTCTCCCTTCTTCTCTGTAAGAAATGAATAAAATATATTTTAAAAATAAATAAATAAAAATAAAAAACAAATGCACAAATAAATAAATAAGAATGATACAAAAAAATCCATGACAAAATATTAAACTTTTAAATAAAAACAAGATGTGACCCTGCACCTGTATGACCCTACCTCGTTTTGCCAAACCCTAATCCAAGCCCCAGTTCCAATAAAACTTTTATTATAAAAACAGGCAGCCAGCCCACGGCCAGAGTTTACTGATTTGATTTTTTTTTAATAATGCATTAAAATATTTAACTTGACTGCTGAGTTTGCAGGCACCCCCTTTCATTTTGTGTGCAAGGTGAATGCTCCCCATGCCTCCTGCCCTGCCTGGCTCTGGGGGCTCTTCCTGCTCCCTCCAGTGTGCCGATAGGTGGGGGGTCAGGGGGAGGGCTACCTATCTTCGCCTCTTCAGACACCGTCAGTGGTAAGTTGTGCTAGGAGTGATTCCATTCACTTTTGCACATAAACTACCCCCAAAAAAACTTAGTGGCTAAAAACAACAATTTACCAGCTTATAAATTTACCAGCTTTATAATTGTGTGGGTCAGCAGTGGAGCCTGGGCTCAGATCGGCAGTTGGGCTTGGCCGAACCCAGACGTGCCTCTGTGGTCAGAGGACAGGCAAGGGCCTCACTCGTGGCTGGCGGTGGCTGTTGGTGGGTCCTGGGCTCTTCTCCATGAGGCCTCTCATCCTCCAGCAAGCTAGCATGGGTTCGTGCCCATGGCGGTATCATCCTCCAGCAAGCTAGTGTGGGCTTGTTCCCAGGGCGGTCTCAGAGCCCCACTGCATAAGAGAGGTCAGGCCCAAGTGCTATTCAAGTCTCCACTCACATCATGTGACTGCTCTCCCGCTGGCCAAAGCAGGTCACATGACCAAGGCCAAGGTCTATACAGATGGACAGGATACAGGGAAACTGACAAGACTGGAGCATGACCAAAACAACCTACCACATGGAAGGTGTTTGGAACATACTCACTTCTCAGAACCAAATCTTTCAGGGTTGTTTTTCCACTGTGGCATAACCTCCCTATCTTCATTTAGTCCAACTAACATCCCGTGGGGCTGCCCTGAGCTGGGGTGTGGAGTGTTGTGATTTTGCTATATTAATATTTGTTAAGTAGAGTCCTGGGTGAAAGACCATAGGGGACAGTGGAAGAGAGAAATTAGTTACAGGAAAAGCTGAGGTGGCCAGTTGGATGCTGAAGGCACTGGGGGTGGGGGGGTCCTAGAGAACAAAGAGGGGACAAGTTGATGGCATGAGCTGTAAGAAGGGAGGCTGGAGCACAGGCCAGGGAGCAGTGGTCTGGAGAAGCCCTGGCAGCTGGAGGCCACCAGGCCCTTCCCTGGGACCTGGGCAGAGCAGGTGTGCTGAGCCAGCTGTGGCTGGGCACTGCACTTCCTGGTGTTAGACATAGCCATTACCAAAACTCAAATTACATAAACTTACAATGAAATTAATTCTATTAAAAACAAAGGTAATAAGTCCTCAATTATTTTATTACGTTTACCATCGTTTGTGTCCTGGAGGTCACTTATATCTGCTGTGTGCAGGAGTGTGTAAGGAGGTGCAGTCTGAGGCAGCCAGGGACTGTGCTGGGGATGGTGTGGGCCCAAAGGGTGGCATGGGTAGTGGACCATCGGCTACTCTGGCAGCCTCTGCCCACATCTGTTTCTACATGTCCGCAGATCTCTGGCGTTGGCCTAAAGTGCCAGCATCATTTCACTTCTGGGTTGTCACCTAACAGGAACTAACTTGCAGCCTTTCTCCCTGGGCTGCGTGATAATGGAGGACCAGATGGTTAATGGAATCTTCCTGGACACCTTCCCACTTGGCACGCTGCTGCTCACACTTCTCTCTCTGGGTGTTGTTCTTTTTAACAGCTTGAGTGAGGCACACTGACCTACAGTGCACTGACCTACACCGGCCCCACGGGCTAAAGGGTGTGGCGCTGCTCCTGGCTGCCGTCACAGCTCTTGCTAGTGACCTACGAGTCCAGAGTGATGACCTTGGTTTGCTGGAAACCCTGGTTTATTTGCAGAAGGCCGGGCTGATAGAACCTGGATATAGTGCCGAGCCAAAGGCAAGAAGAGTGGGGACAAAGGGGACTAGAGTCACCTGAAACGAATATAATATTGTAATCAACTGCACTTTCTTTAAAAGGTGCCAGGTGGGGACACTATCACCATTCCCAGATGGCGAAACTAAAATTCTGGCTGCCAGTGGCCGC